AAAAAAAAAAAAAAAAACTCTTTAAACAGCTTAAAATTAAACATCAGTAACGGTTTAATTTTAAGCTATTTAAAGTTAAATTTTTAATCAGGGGAAAGTTGTTTGATTGTTTACTTCTGGTTCAGTTGTCCAAGAACCGTCAACTACACCCCATTGATGTCAGTGGTTCTACTAAATCCCCATCAAGGAAGTCATATTAAAAAAAATAAAAAGGAAAAGAAAAAGATTTGCCTCCAAGAATACATGTATACAAAACAGATTATAAGATCAACTTCAACTATCACATTGAGGGTTTTTTTTTTCTAGTTTTTTATTTTTATTTTGTGCCATTATTACCTAAATTCAGGCGAACCTATCTACTATTAAAATATACTCTTCAGCTTGAAGCTTCTTGGTTGTAACCTGTCCCACTCAAAAAATGACTTTCCCAAGAACTTGCAATTATTCTCTGCTTTTGTATAAAGCCCATCAACTTTGAAGCGTTTACTATCTGCTATACTATTCTGAAACATCAATTCACCCCCATCATCGCCTTGTAAGTCGTATTGGAAACTTCCAGAAAGGATCCAACTTCTAGTCTTAAACTCAAGATCATCCAATATAGTTTTTCCATACATTAATAAAAATAATGTTTTTGAAATCAGTTTTCATTTACTAGTCCGTCCAAATGTATCTTATATTAAATTAATAGGGACAGTATGACCAAAATCATATCTTTCCCCAATATTCAATATTATAGCAGTTTTCTCTACGCTTATCCGAAGTTTCTTAAAACTGTTTTTTGACAATATTTAAAATTTCTTTATTGTACTAATTCTTATTAACCTTTCTCCAGCACTGTGTCCCCTTTACTCAGTAATGTAATATCCCGTTCCTCTTTTGAAGTTATGTATTTCTTAAAACCCATGACAGTTTTTACTTGTCTAAAATGAAATAAATATCAATTACAATACAATTATATATATATATTTATTTACAATATGAACACTGAAGTCACATGAGAACATTTTCCACCAAGTAAGTTTGTTGTAAATATTTATATAAACCACGAGTTAACCTGTTGGCAGTCAATGTGTTAAAATCTTGTTTTCATTCAAACTAAGAAAAATTTGCGGTCTTTAAATGAAAAATTCTTTGAGAATCCTTGAATGTTAGTCCATTTTTACAGAAAAAAAAAAAAAAAAAAAAAAAAAAATGGATATCTAAACGTTACTCTCTCCCCACAGAAATAAAATAAAATTACAATGTGCTATCACGAAAAACATTTTCCATTGATTGAAAGCAAAAAATTAATTGCTTCCAACAACACCGTCACCAAACCGGGAAGCAACACAAAGGGCAGATAATCGAGTTTTGCCCACATTTTAAAAAAAAAAATTTTTTTGACTAGATACGAACAAGCTGAATCTAAGCTTAGATTCACCCTTATTCATTAAACATTTTTCTTTTTTTTTATCCCTATTGTCGACGTCATTGTGAACATTTCATCAGCATACGCACAATAAATAAAAAAATTACAATATGAACGACACTTCAAAATATATTTTTTTTAATACATCATAAAAGGTACTTTGATATTTTGCATCAGTAATGTACAGAAAAACCTTTAAAACTGGTCTCAATACTGCAGGCAAAGAAAGTGTCAAAATGTCCGGTTATTAAAAAACGAAATAAAATAATGTAGCAAAAGCTACATTATGAGATTAGCTTAAATATATTCTTGGAATGTATCGTTTGTTATTCCACAGTTGAAATTAGATAAAAAAAAATTACGGTAAACATGGACCTTTGTGTCCAAAAAAGGAAGAAATACTGTATAGACTTTTAGCTAAAAGCAGAAGTCTTCTTTTTAACGTTTCACCTCATGCAAGATGCAGTGGGGGTGTTACAGAGAGTGAAAGTGAATGAAAGGACATTTTTTTCCATAACACCGCTTTTATTTTAACTACTTTCACTCCCTCGGCAATTTTTGTTTTAAAAGGCGATGATTAAAATTGTAACAAAACCTAAACATATGAAAGTGAATTTATGAATTTTCTTTCAGAATTGAGAAGAAAAGTATAAACCTTTTTATTTATTAGATTATTTACTGGCATGTTTGGCAAAACAGTTAATTGCCAATCGATTCGAACTTTATTAAATGGTAGGTAATAGGAATTTCCTTATAGTCGGTTCACATATTTTAATAATTTAGTAAATCTATGAATAAAAATCTGTTAAATATTGCACTAGTTTTAATTGTAATAGTTTTTGAAATGTAAGTAAACAATCTAATAAATAGTTTTTAATATTTTGATTGTAAATTCTCAAGAACAAAAAGAAAGTATAAATTCACTTTCGTCATACGTTTTAAGTTTGTAATTACTTGACCTCCCCACTGAGTTAGGTTGTGGCACAAGGTCAGTTTTTAACGTGGGTACCCAAGTGTCTTCACTCGGGCCGCTGGTCTTAGCTGGTCAGAGCTGGTCTAAGCTAGTCATAGCTAAGATTCTACCAGCGCAGGTACGGATCCCTCTGACCGGCATCAGAATGTGTTGATTTACTTGACTCCCACTGAGTCAGGTTGTGACACAAGGACTATTTTTAACGTGGAGACCCGAGTGTCTTTACTCGGGCCGCTGGTCATATCTGTGATACTACCAGCGCAGGGACAGATCCCTGTGACCGGTAAGTATCAGAATGTGTATACCACTCGAGAGAGAGAGGAATTTACACGCTCTATGTTTAGGTTTTATTCCAATTCTAACCATCACTTTTTTAAAACAAACATTGCTGAGGAGTGAAGGTAGTTAAAATAATAGCAGCGTCAAGGGAAAATCCGTCCTTTTGACACTGCTTGAATTTTTTTATGGGTACGAAGGTGCAGGTTTACTAAAATTACCTTAAAACTAGGTCAATATACTTCCCGTCAACTAAAAATATTAACTGGAAAATACAGATTATTACATTGAGTAGGCGCACATATATACGAATCAATGTGCAGGTTTGAATCTATAAATAATAATGGCTGGCTGCTTGTTTCAGAGTTTGCTCGGGTGGTTAGCTAATCCTTGTTGCAGACGCCTACTCTGGAACATTTGTGTTTTTTCATCACCCACAGCACCAACTTATGAAGCAATCGATAACTATGCAGAGGAGACCTTAGTTTCAATTTATGATCGAGATCAGGCGTGATTAGGCCAGTACACTCAAATCAGCGGTCACCATGTCCTGTGACTTCTTGCTAGCAAAGCCATCGACGGCTTCCGAAGAGTTCTGTCTGTCCAGTTTCACTTTTTTTCGGGAACACGTGCGTTCAATTATCTTTTTCAGTCGGTGTTAGAACAGTAACAGGGAGCGTAATAAAAGTGTCGGGTGAAAAGTTTGTAGTTAATTAAAAAAAAAAAAAAAAAAAGAAAAGTGTGTGTGTGGGGGGGGGCTATGCCTTTTCGCCGGTGATGAAAATGGCGCGCTCGTGAAAAACTATACCAGCAGAGGTAAAGCCCTTTCGTGTTTTTTTCCAACATCAGCAATGACAGCATCGTTTTCAGAAAATATGTTGACCGCGAAATCTGTCTTTTACAGAACCGAAACAAATGAAAGACAGAAGACAACCAAATCTGGACAATAAGGCGTATTTGGTAGGACACTCCAGTTCAAATTTGCAACGTGACTCATGGACTTGTGTGGGGCTTGGCGATGTCGTGTTGCAAGGTGTGGGGAATTGTAGGTTATTGCTGAGGAAATTCAACCTCAACTGAATTACCACTAATATTCGCTTCTACAGCGATGGGCCAATAAGAAGCATTACTTTCGGAGTATCCACTGTGTGTATATGAGAGAAAGAGAGAGAGTAAGTGAAAGAGAGAGGAAAGAGAGAGAGTGAAAGAGAGAGAGTAAGTGAAAGAGAGAGAGAGTAAGTGAAAGAGAGAGAGAGTGACAGAGAGAGAGAGAGAATGACAGTGAGAGAGAGAGAGAATGACAGTGAGAGAGAGAGAATGACAGTGAGAGAGAATGACAGAGAATGAGAGTGAGAGAGAGATCTGTAATTTCCAGGTTTGAATGCGTCTTATTGTGCCGTTCACCAGAAATACGCACATAGCTAAGGTCACTTTGCCAATTTGTTCCGCTCTATATGCTCGTATTCATTTATCACGAGAGTTTTTCTAACGTTAAGTTGGAACGGCTCTGTGATCTTTACGCCGGTTAACAATTTTCGTGCAATGTGTTTTGCGCGAGTCTCAGCAAACCACCACGAGGAGACCGTCAAAGTGCTTCGCGAACATTCTTTAGGTCAAACACAGATTCTTGAGTCGCATGTGCGCGTCAAAGCTGGCCAAGAGCCACCGATAGCAAACAGAAACAGAGGGAACAATCATTAAAAACGGCAAATATGGAGAGAGAAAAAAATGATGATATCTACGAGGACCACCGCTGGACATTATCTCAGCTGATTTACATAATCAGTCAGCCTGGAGATCGTCACGGAAAACCTAAACATGTATCACATTGCAGCCTTCAGAAAGTGGTCTTCCATGGTGGTTTTAAGGTGTGGAAAAGGCACTGAAATTGTTCTGTATATTCGTTAGGTGCTTATTTCGAAGCGGGTACCTCTTCGAACATATATATATATATATATATAATGAAATGGACAAAGTTCAATTATTTTTTTAAAGACATTTTTATGTCTATACATTCTTTTTATAGATACAAATATTTAAGCAAATGCTCTGTTCATAATAAACAGCATTAATAACATTTACCGGCCTGAATGTCCGAGAAATTTTCATAGAAAATATTCGTTCTCCGACAGGATTTGAACCTGTATTCTATACGGAACCGTCATTTAGATTGACGTGCCTTTACCGATTTGGCAGCGAAGGAACGTTCGGTTACCAAGGGCGATTTTACTGTTTTTAAACTACAATCCTCCATGATTCTCTCACGTACATTCATATCTCCTCAGAGCGTATCCAAATGTAAACAAATGACGTCACACATTATGAAATGGACAAAATCAATTATTTTGTAAGACATTTTTATGTTTAAAACTGTCGGAGGACGAATATATTCTATGAAAATTTCTCGGATATTCAGGCCGGTAAATGTTGTTTAATACTGCTTATTATAAACAGAGCATTTGCTTAAATATTTGTATCTATAAAAAAATGTATATATATATATATATATATATATATATATATATATATATATATATATCACTGCTTGACATCAGTTACATAGATTCAGAAGAATTTTCTGCGATTGTTACAAGTACACTTCTCAGAACGCACAGATCTGATATTGACCTACTCAACCACGGTGCTCTTGGTGTGATGTAGGTTGCACATGGGCGTGCTTACGTACGTACATGTGGATCAAGAACAAACATTGTCCATTCATCGCAACCAGTGTCGTGGGGGTGTCAAAATAGACCGTACTAGCTAAATCTTTCAATCCTCATATATATGTTTAATTAAATAATATGGAGAAGTTATGTCTATTCATTTTTTTTTTTTTTTCAATATTAAATTTTTAAAATTTCCGAATTAGTCAGTTTGCGTTATCGGTAAATTTGGCAAAAATTCATATATAATTTTCTTCCCGGGAACATTCGCAAAAAAATCAGTTTGAAAGTTTAACTGATGCCTCTTAAGATTGATTTGAAATTGGTTCCATCAAACGTAATAACGCCGGAATTAAACAGATCACTTGCGTAAATATAAACAGAAGAATTCTTGGAGTGACATTCGAAAGTTCTTGGGAAGAAAATAATATAAGTAATATAAAATAAATATAAATATGAATTTTGCCAAATTTAATTCGAAAATTTGAAAAATTAAATAAAAAACAAAATTGACAGACAGAACTTGACCATATCATCTAACCAAAGATGTTTGACAGAATTATTGCACCCGAAATACACCTTTGTATATCTCAAGAATATATTTTAATAGTAGAGGTACTTTCTAAACTATGTTAAATTTGGGAAACTTATCCAATTCTTTAAAAAAAAAAAAAAAAAAAAAAAATATAAAAATAAATTGGATTTAAAGAGTAATTCTTGCAAGTTACTAAATTATGGAAATAAAAAAAAAATAAATTTAAAAAAAAAATGCTGGAAAAGGTGATAGAAAGTGGCTAGATAATGTTCGTCTGAAAATGTTTATTCTAAAACAGGGATTCGTACTTAGAGTATATAAAATTTATTTTTATAGGAATACTTTTTCAAATTATTTTTCCAAGATATGTTTAGTCTGAATGATGATGTATTTTTTTTTCTTTATCAAAGTGTTTGAATTTCACAAATCAACATCACATTTTCAAAAATAAAATCATAAAAATAAACTTTTCTTTTCAGATTATAACAAGAAATGATGAGAAAGAATTAAAATATGAAGATGGGTGTAACAATCAATGAAATAGCGTTGCCCAAATTAATCCATTCTGTCTGTAGCCCCATCATTGGACTAAGTGTTTATTTTTTTTTTTTAAGGGGTGGTTCTATCAGATTAACCGATATGATCTATAGACCGCCACCATCAAAAACAGGAACAAAAAATTAATAAATAGACTAGAACTCCGTTGACCAATCAGAAAAATCCGATGTCAATAAGTATACGAAACCAGTTCACCATTACAGATGTCAATATAACCATCAACTCCTAAGGGTAGAAATCGATGAATTATTCAGTCCTTGTATCGACTGATAGTTACCAGGACGCCATCTTTGAATCTGGTAAATCCGGTTTTTGTTTTGTTTTTTTCTTATCGCCCGTATTCGAAATATGGATTATTCGATCAGTCGGCGAATGGTCACCAGGAGAAAGTGATCACTCATACCAATAAATCATATCACGTATTCGTCTCAAATGCACTCACTCACTTCTACTCACACTTTCCAAAAGAAACGCCGAAAAGACTTGTGGAAATTGTTCTTTTTCTTCGGTGCAACCACGTGGCCTAGAGCCATTTGAAAGACGTCGTCAACCCCTTCACCACTGAGAGAGGAGCATTCGACATAGCACACTGCATTGTTTTTCTTGGCCCATTTGGCTGCCTTCCGGTATGTGATAAATGTACGTTCTTTCCTGCTCACAGCCCGAGTGGCACGGTCGCTTTCTTTGTGGAGAATTTTTTCGCGAATGTCAAGATGCGTCCCAACAACCATGAACGGTGTCTGGGGTCGGTAATGTTTAAGTTCGGTCAGCCAGCGGGACGAGAGGTTTTCGAAAGAACTCGGCTCGACCAGCGAAAAACAGAGGATGAAAAGGTCAGCGTCGCAATAAGTCAAGGTGCGAATTCGGTCGTAGGTTTCCTGAAAGAAAAGAAACAATAATATTTAGTTGTTATGGATCACGGAATTGACAAAGAAATAATGGGAGGGAGGGAGGGAGGGGGAGGAGACAAAGAAATAGTGGAGGAGAGAGAGAGAGAGACAAAGAAATAGTAGAGGAGAGAGAGACAAAAAATAATAGTGGAGGAGAGAAAGAAATAGTAGAGGAGAGAGAGACAAAAGAAATAGTGGAGAGAGAGAGAAAAGAAATAGTGGAGGAGAGAGAGAGAGACAAAGAAATAGTGGAGGAGAGAGAGAGAGAGACAAAGAAATAGTGGAGGAGAGAGAGAGAGAGACAAAGAAATAGTGGAGGAGAGAGAGAGAGAGACAAAGAAATAGTGGAGGAGAGAGAGAGAGACAAAGAAATAGTAGAGGAGAGAGAGAGAGAGAGAGAGAGACAAAGAAATAGTAGAGAGAGAGAGAGAAAAAGAAATAGTAGAGGAGAGAGAGAGAAAGAAATAAGGGAGAGAGAGGAGAGAGAGAAAAGAAATAGTAGAGGAGAGAGAGAGACAAAGAAATAGTAGAGGAGAGAGAGAGACAAAGAAAGAGAGAGAGAGAGAGAGTAGAGAGAGAGAGAGACAAAGAAATAGTAGAGGAGAGAGAGAGAGACAAAGAAATAGTAGAGGAGAGAGAGAGAGACAAAGAAATAGTAGAGGAGAGAGAGAGAGACAAAGAAATAGTAGAGGAGAGAGAGAGAGACAAAGAAATAGTAGAGGAGAGAGAGAGAGACAAAGAAATAGTAGAGGAGAGAGAAAGAGAGAGACAAAGAAATAATGGAGGAGAGAGAAAGAGACAAAAGTGTATATCTGCACACAAACAAACGGGCTTGAGTAATATAAACAAAAAAGGATTTTTTTTTTATTTTAGAAACAGTGATATTTAGAGGAGTGTGCGAAAAGCCGATCCTGTCTGATTTTCTGGTCAATATCATGCAATCCGATTGTCGTCATCAACTTAAGTGTCTGACATTTTAAGTGCTTAAGCTGATTTCTTCAAACCCATTTTCACAACGAATATTAACGTTGATACGTACACAGCCATTATAACTTCATGCAACTCGTCTGTGAAGGATAACCGTCAAGTCTTTAATAAAGACTGAATCACACAATGACCCCAGGAGTTCGATTTAGTTTGTATGCAAAATTTGCGTGGACCTATCCGGCATTTCTATATTACCAGGGGAAAAAAGGAGGTTAGAGCAAAGCCGGTACGCAGTACTGATTAGGGGGCCAGTTTGTTTGCCTTTCAATACGATTAACATTTGGTTTTTCCTACCTGTTTTTATATACGTTACAAATAAAACTAAGTATGACCGACTATTTAAAGAATTAAACTTTTTCGCGGATTTTGACGTCATTCTGAGATATTTTTTCTTTTTTTATAAATCCGTGAATTTTTTTTTGCTCATGCTAAGTCCAAAGAAAAAAAGAAAAAATTACATAAAATTCACTATTTTTATCCATAGTGCTGAATGTGTTAAAATTTTTCACCTTTGTTACAAAAAAAAAAAAAAATCTCATGTTAAAAATTGCCGCAAAACATTGTCGATTTATTGACGATGGAATAATCTATTATAACAAATGGGTTTGTCTATCGTCCGGGTCACACCCCTCCCCAGTTTTCCAAACAGGAGTAGAGTGGCATTATTGCCTTACTTGGGGTAAATTGATTAAAAAATAATAAAAATGAAAAAAATTAGATAAATTGTATTTATTTTCAATTTTTCTAGTTGTATTGTTCACGTATTTAAGTTAGAATAAAATTTGTATTTTCTATGAATATTACATCATGAAAATTGTGATGTAATAGAGTTGGGAACGTATTATAAATTCGTGTGTGGGGGGGGACTCTTTAACGGCCCCGGGTTAGGACTCTATGGTGCTTTAGTCATATTTAAAATACTCCTTTGGGACCCTCACACACTTATCCAATCATTTCTAGTATTTTTCAAAATAGCCCTTTTTTTTCGGAATTGCATTCTTTTTACATTCGCTCAAGGGATAAAATTCTCTTCGTTTCAAGTTTCCGTTCATACATTTTTTTTTAAGCGTTTCACCCCAAGCAAGGCAGGAAGCCACTAGGATGCAAGGGGTTACAGAAGATTTGGAGCAAGATCAGATAGGAGTGATAGAGGAAAGGATGAGGAGAAGGATAGTGGATAGATCAAGGCAACTGGAGATGTCGATTGACATTACATTTGAATAGTTGGAGATTATAGCTCTCAGGGAAACTAGAATAGGGAAGGGAGTTCCACGGGCGAGAGGTGCGAGACATGAAGCTATTGGAGTAGAAGAGACGGCTATATTTAGTAGTTTCGACAGTGAAAGTGTGAGAGCAGGATGACAGCCTCGTAGGGCGCTTGAATTCATGAAGTCTGGGAACCAGCGAATGCAGCTCCTCGGAGCAATTGCCATGAAAGTATTTGTAAAACAGACAGAGAGAGGCGACGGCGCGTCTGTGAGAGAGCGACTGTAGACGAGATGGCAGAACATATACTGTAAGGTTTTTCGCTGTTTATTTGCTAAACGATATCAAGGCTGTGGAATCCGATTTAGTGATTAAAAATAAAGAACATTGATTGCCTTACGTAACGAATTACTTATGAATTATTACTTATGAATTATTACTTATGAATTATTACTTATGAATTATTACTTATGAATTATTACTTATGAATTATTACTTATGAATTATTACTTATGAATTATTACTTATGAATTATTACTTATGAATTATTACTTATGAATTATTACTTATGAATTATTACTTATGAATTATTACTTATGAATTATTACTTATGAATTATTACTTATGAATTATTACTTATGAATTATTACTTATGAATTATTACTTATGAATTATTACTTATGAATTATTACTTATGAATTATTACTTATGAATTATTACTTATGAATTATTACTTATGAATTATTACTTATGAATTATTACTTATGAATTATTACTTATGAATTATTACTTATGAATTATTACTTATGAATTATTACTTATGAATTATTACTTATGAATTATTACTTATGAATTATTACTTATGAATTATTACTTATGAATTATTACTTATGAATTATTACTTATGAATTATTACTTATGAATTATTACTTATGAATTATTACTTATGAATTATTACTTATGAATTATTACTTATGAATTATTACTTATGAATTATTACTTATGAATTATTACTTATGAATTATTACTTATGAATTATTACTTATGAATTTACTTATGAATTATTACTTATGCAGAATTCGATGTTTAGCTTTTGGAAAGGAAATAAAAAAAAAAAAAAAAAGATCTAAATGTAATAATTTATTTTTATTTAAAGTAACTACGTTTTTTTTTTTTTTTTTTTTTTTTTTACAGTTAATATCAACAGTTTTCCGCTGATTCAATCTGTTGTGGAGTAAATAGTATGCTCCTGGTAATTATATGAACTAGTCCATAGTTGTAAATAAAGAACTCCAGGTCAGAGAGAAGTAGCCGATTGGAGTCAGGCAGTTCGCTGTCTGACTCACGGCTGACTTGTCGAAGTCTTTCTGCTTTCGGGCAGAGAGGAACCCAAACGAGATTATGGCAATGGGCAGAGTATCGTCTGGAGAGGTAAACAAATCCGAACCTCATGTATGCGGGGTCTACGGGGAACTTTTGCCCGAGTCTACGGGTTCAGAATCACCCCACGTAAAATCCTGCCTTGTGGAGAGGTTTGCTAAATATTAGAAGCCGCCGCTTGGAGTCAGGCAGTTCGCTGCCAGGCTCACGGCTGACTTGACAACTTTTAAACTACTGACAATCTGAAAGAGGCGGCTGAAATTCCTGGGATACACGAAGAAAGAAGGCTTGGAGAATTTGATACTCATTGTATATAGTGAAGACAAGAGAAGTAAAGGGAATTTACTGCAGGAGATTGAGTGAATAGATGATAGAACAAGGACAAAGAAGGATGAGAATTACTTATAAGAACATGAAAAAGGAAGTTGCGGAGAGCTATGTTCGCGCACGTTCTGAAAAACATGCCACCTGAAAGGAAAATGTAAAATTTTAATGAATTTCTATTCAGTTTTCAAAAATGCGACAACTTTCCAAGCAACCAATATTCGTTCGCAAAAATATTTCTGTGGTAGAAGGAGAAACAAAGTAATAATGATACGGAGGGGGAGAGAAACAAAGTAATAATGATACGGAGGGGGAGAGAAACAAAGTAATAATGATACGGAGGGGGAGAGAAACAAAGTAATAATGATACGGAGGGGGAGAGAAATATAGGATATAAACTCCTATATTTCATGGTCAATAAGTGAAGCACAAAAAAGTACGAGAGGCCTACAAATAAATCTTATTAAATTCAGTAGATACGAAATTTTTTTACTGTTCTATACAAACGTGATTCCAAATTAAATAAGTGGTTTCAGGAATCTAATTGGATAGGACTATCTTGTGATGTGCTTTCTACAGCGCCCGCGCGTTTGAACTCCAAATGACCTTGAAATGGGTCAGGACTGATTACTGGGTACATTCCCGCAAAAAACTCACTAATTCGTAACTGACCCATACCGATAAAAACCGGTCGCCGTTAATAGCGAAAAAACAGTCAGTGGACGGCTGTCAGCGAACCAGACCATGCCTTGACCTGCAGCATAGACACACGTTACCATGACAGCGCGTCAGTCCGCTATTACACACGTTTCAATAGCGTGTGCTTCATGCATACATATTGGTGTACCATGCCACTTGATTACCTCACTTGTAGCAAAAACACTTTGAAACATTGCAGACTCACTTGCGACAATTCATTTTGAACACTCTTCACAGCCAAAAGAAAGAACGTTGATTTTTTTTTTAATATGTAAATAGATGAACCGAAATGTATAAATGTTACAGTCATATTTAGTTTGGATTTACTTTTCTGTGAAGATTTTTTTTTTCAAGTTGTATAAAAAAAAAATTGTGTTATATTTAAAATGGACACGACACTCGGATTTTATTTTCCTCTCCTAAAATCCAGGTAAACTGATACCCACAGTAATGAGACTGGGTGGAGAAGGAGAAAGGAAAAGAAAGAGAAAGGAAAAGAAAAGAAAGAGATGGGAGAAAAAGAATAAGGGGAAGGGAAGCAAGGAAAAGGTGAAGAGACACAAACATTAGAGCGAATGGAATATTCTTTTGACGTATTTTTAATTTAATAAATTACTGTATATATATATATATATATATATATATATATATATATATATATATAACTCGTATTAAATTTTCCAACGACCGTCAAGTATTAGTAAATGTCAAGAACACGGTGATATATTTATGTATAATTGGATAATTTTACCATCAAAATCCATTGTTTTTGTTCTCAGGTGTTGTGAATAAACTTAAACATTAATTCTTCATTAAAATTTCTAGACAAATTCTCTACAGTCCACACAATGCGATAAAAAAAAAAAAAAAAAAAAAACATTGTTTTTCTGAGCTGACCAGATTTTAAAATATAAAATAGCTTACTGTCTTCAGATCATGAACAAAATGACAAATGTCGATTTTCTTTTACTACAGACCAAAACTAAAACTCAGTCATCATCTCACTTAGAACAAAGAAAAAAGAACAGATTATTCATATTGCGTCCAGTGAACCTTGTTTACGTTTCTGGAGAGAGGAGAAAAAAAAAAAGTTTACCACGCCCACATTTCCCTCCCTGCCTCAGAGTAAACAAGACAGAATTGGGAGGCAAAGAAGTTGGGAAGGGATGAAGAAAGAATTGACGGTGAGGAAAATATATGATGAAAACGTATTGAATCGCTTTCTGTCACAAAATTTTATTTTGCTTTGTGGCGACCATTTTAATCGAGAAATCTCAAAGAATTTAAATGTTCTCTTTCCTTTAATGATGTATTCTTTTTCTCATATTCTTCCACCCTCATTAACGCCTAGCGTCTTAAAGGCTTTGTTTTGCATGGGGCGAAATGCTTTTCAAAATAAAAGGAAGTGGAAGAGAAAATAAATAATACAGACATAAACTTCTCAGCCTGAAAAACGTCCAAACATCTAACCAAAAGATCAGATTTAAATTTAGGAAAATCACTTATTGGTCGGGTCGAACACTTGCACAAACTCGAGGGAGGGTTTAATAGCATTCAACCTGAAAAAAAAAAAAAAAAAAAACTGAAATCCTAAAAATTAATTCTGATATTTAACCTTTTGGTGAGTCTTCCAGAAGTGGGTAATTGATGAATTTTTTTTTTTTAACGACTTACCATAATTTGTGGGTCAAGCCGAAAGAATTTGGATGTAAGAATAATTCTTTTTGTTGCGAGTGAATATTACATTAATTTTTGCAAGTTGTAATATTTAACACATAACTGGAGGGAGGGGATAAACAGAAGTGGTTCAGGTCGAGAAATTTTCATTATCCCCTCGCGCGCGCACGTGTTATTTATATATATATATATATACATACACACACACACACACAGGGATATTGAATATTGAAAAGTAACTTCCTATTTTATCTATAATGTGATCTCCCATCTATCATTTTTACAACGAGAGAGTCCATCATACATAAAATAGAGTTACTTTTCAGTCACCGTCTCTCTCATTATATATATATTCTATTTGGGAAATATGATTACGCTTGACAATGCAACGAAACTCTGGATTTTAAGTTTAATTTTTATAATTAAAATTTACAATTTTAGTTTTGAAAGAAATTTGTTTGTGGCGATTGAATCATTTTTTAAAAAGAAAATAATTATATTATGCTCTACTGTTTTTATCGAGCAGTGATTTTTTTTTTAAAATAAAAATAATTGCTAAGAACACCGGAATATAAATCTTACTTTTTTTTTTATTATATATATATATATATATATATATATATATATAACACGAGAGAGAGAGAGAGAAACAAATGCACACGCTGACATCATTCTTTTGCACTTTCAGGGGAAGAGGGACGCAGATGAGGGACCCTGGAATTTTACAGAGCCTGAAATTAAATAACCTGGCGCGAGACAAAATTAAAAATCGAGCCGAAACAAAGCGTACAGATAAAATGGAAAAGAAACAGCCTTACGGATTTAGAAATAAAACAAGGATGCAAGAATATTAGGGAAATAATTTCCCAAATGATTCTCTTGATTATAGAGGTCAACCTTCCGTGTGTTAAAAAAAAAAAAAAAAAAAAAAAAAAAAAGTCTTTACCGATTTACTCTTTTATTAATTCAATTCGACTGAAGCAGACATCACGAGAGACATTAACACAGAAAACGAAAAAGGACAATCGTGAGTATTTGCTATGAGAAAACCCACATCAAATGACAGTAATAAGAGGTTGTTTTTTTTTCAATGTGTTTCTTTACCTTTTACCACTAGAGATTCCCTTTCTCGTGGACTAAAAACAAATTTTTGTTTCTCTGTATTTCAGAGATGAAGTATTGTAGCTATTTACACTATTTTACATTGTTCGGACCGTTGTCCTCGCTTTTGTCATATTCACGGACTTAATTTAAATCCTAATTTTAATGCTAGATCTGAGCGAGGCATTGTTCTTTAGTGCTGATGGGAGAGGTGATGAGAGCACAGAGTTTTCCTGTCCTTGTATTCATCGCATTCCAAATTTCCCAAGACCCCTTTCCTTATCATGTGCCATCGAAATTTGAATTCTCTTACTAATTCTAAGGATAACTATCATTTTTGCGTCAATTTTCTCTAAATCCTTATCATTGCACCCATGTTCAGTTCATGGTATTCTCAGCATCCTTCTGTAGAACCACATTTATTGCCGAAAGTCTTTTCTTCATCTGCAAAGAAGTTGTTCAGCTCACACTACCATATTTCGTAACAGTTTAGTACTTATTCTTGTCTAACGAATATTTCCAGTTTCTTGATACTTTGCCTAGCATTTGGGATGCATCTTTGGCTATGCCAATAGGCCTTCGGATTTCGGTGGAGCACTTTTCGTCTTCTGTTACAACCATTTTCTTTTAATCGGTATCACCCCAAGCAAGGCAGCACAGCCACTAGCACGCAAAGGGTTAAATGGTGTGGAGGAATTAGGAACAGAAACATTAGTAATGAAGAGAAAGAATAGTAACCAGGAGGACAGTAGATAGTGATTGACGTTGCATTTACATTATTGTAGATTAAAATTTGCTGGAAAGCAAGGAGCAGGAGGAAGTTCCACAAGCGAGAAGTGCGAAATAAGAAACAGTTAGCATAGAGGCCACGGCTACATCTAGGTAGCTCAATTGTAAATTAAGATCTTGCTACTAGTCTGGTATTGCACCTAAATTCATACAATTTCAGGTACCATAGTGAAGAGCTCATCCGAACAATTGCTATGAAAGCATATATATATATATATATATATATATATATATATATATATATATATATATATATATATATATATATATATATGTGTGTGTGTGTGTGAAAATATATAGAAAATAGGAAGGAACTGGTTAGGTAAATAATCCAAAAGTTCCTTAGTATTTTAGTTATTATTTTTTTTAAAATAGTGCTCGATACAAAAGTAGAGCATAAATATAATTTTATATATATATATATATATATATATAGTGTGTGTGTGTGTGCATATAAGTAGAGAGAGGGGCAACCTCACGGCGGTGGGTAAGTGACTGAAGCCGAGCTGCCAGATCAGGACTTATAATATTGCTGATTCTTCTTTGCATTCTATCAAGGGATTCCAAGGGCAATATTCTAAGCATGGACGAATGTTTGACTTTTTGGAGTTTGGTAAGTTACGGCGTAGCCCATTTGGCATCAGAAAAATAATTGGACTATTCGGCACAGCTGTTTAGGCGTCAGACTGTTTCAACGTCAATGTCTTTGACCGGCCATCTAGATTTACAAGTAAATCCTTCCAGTATGGAGCTGCCAGGGCTGGGTCAAAGCAGAGATCATTTGCCAGATTCGGGTCATTTAGATTTACAAGCCAGTCTTTTCCCCATTGAGACACTAACGGCTAGTTCAAAGGAGAGATCAGCTGCCAAATTCGGGTCATCCAGATTTATAAGCCAATCCTTTCTCCGTTGAGCCACAAGGCCTAGGTCAAAGGTGGGGGGGGGTAGCTGCCAGATTCTGGTCAATCGCATAGATATTCACTGAAGATCAGAGTACTTTCTTAATCACATTATTAACCTAGAGAAGAAAGAGCGAAGGACCGAGAAGATAACTTTAGGGAACGCCGACATTGATCTCATGGGCTTCAGATGACTGGCTTGTGTAAACAACTTTCATGGACGTACCTGAAATGAAGGGCTTCATAATTAAGAAAATCCTTCCAGGGATTTCATAGCTGGACAGTTTATGTAGAAATCGCCGATACCTCCCAACCTTTGATATATCTAGGGCAATGGTTTTCGTAATGAATTTACTGTCTAGTGCCTTGCTGATTTCAGGAATAATGACAGTTAAGACATCAGCTGTAGATCAAGCAGAACTAAATCCATAATGATTACCATTCAGGAGGTTATTTTTCTTGAGTTTTTCAATAACCTTGTTGTTGATCTTAGATATGGAGAGTTTACTAGGGATAGTAAAACGGTTAATGAGACATGAATGAGCGCTTACCCGCATTCTTTAAAACAGAACAAAGTTGACATATTCCATAGATCTGAAAATAATTTTGTTTATCTTTTAAAAGAAACAATGTTTGTTTTATGTGACCGCGTAGTGTCGAGCATTTCTGTCCTAATTTTAATCAAGGTTAAGTTCTAAGTTTATTCACACTGTCCGGATGCAAGAAATACGTATTTGAAATTAAAATTATTCAATTAGGCGTAAGTATAATTTAGTGTTCTTGACCTTTGCAAATGCTGAACGCTAGTTGGAGAATATATTTCAAGGATTATTTAATCTGCGATTTTAATTGCGTACGTCAAAATTATATTCACTCTAATATTCGTCTTATCTTTCCTTTACTTTTCATTCTACCTACTTCCCATAAGAATTTCAGATACGTACCTCATAACGCTCTCAGACATTTACATGAATGGTGGAATGTCTACTTAAAAAAAAAAAAAAAAAAAAAAAAAAAAAAAAAAAAAGTTGCAAGAAATTTTTTTATTGATTGAGGGTGGGGAGATAATTTTTGTATACAGTGTAACCCGGATATAAGAGAGTTGTCGGGACCGGATAAGAAGTATCTTATAACCGGGTTTCTCTTATATCCGGGTTTGGTCTATTTTATATACATTAACACAGGCTCTAATTTGGGACCAGAGAAAATTTCTCTTATATCCGGGTTTGGTCTATTTTATATACATTAACACAGGCTCTAATTTGGGACCAGAGAAAATCTCTCTTATATCCGGGTCTCTTATATCCGGGTTACACTGTATTAGCTTTCTCGCTACCCACATTTGTCATTATCAAAAAGTAATGACTTTTACCATTTCAAAAGAGGGGGTCCTGTTCTTAACATAAATACAATGTCAAGTCGATTCTTGCCTGTTTAACTCTTATAGCGGAAAGGGTATTTACCCATGGGCTTTGAAAAAACAAAAAAAAAAACAAAGCTATTCTTACGCTGCGAGAAGCAGATTTTTATTTATTTATTACTTTTTTGGCATAATTAACTATTTAGAATGGTCATGGAATTTAATTATGAATTCTCAAAGATGAAGAAGAGACTCGAGACAACGGAGATGTGGTTCTACAGAAGGATGCTAAGGCTATCATGGACCGAGGATGTGAGGAACGATGAGGTCTTCGAGAAGATGCAAACAAGGAGGAGGCTTATACTTAGCAGGCAGCTGAAGTTTCTAGGACACATAAGGAAGGAGGGCCTGGAGATCTGATACTCACGAGTCGAATAGAGAGACAAGAGAAAACAACGCATGACTAGCGGCCCAAGCGTCCACTTAGTGAAGAGACGGCTACATTTAGGAGTTTCAACAGTGAAGGGGTGAGAGCGGGATGCCAGCCTCGTAGGTTGCTTGAACTCATGAAGTTTGGGAACCAGCGAATGCAGCTCCTCGGATCAATTGCCATGAAAGTATTTGTAGAACAGACAGAGAGAGGCGACGGCGCGTCTGTGAGAAAGTGACTGTAGACAAGATGCCAGAACAGGGCCAATTATATTGCATATCCGCCTCTGGAGCCTATCAAGAACCCCGAGGCAAACAGAAGGGGTTCCAGACCATATATGGCAGCAATACTCCATCTTTTAAAGAAGTGTCACGCCCATAAAAAAAGACTCCGTTTGGATATTGCCATATTTCTTACGAAGCACATGATCTTTTCATACATCTCCAACCATAACCATCTGTGTTTTTTGTTTATAGGTCTCTAATATCAGACCTTTGTGTTTGAGAAAATTCACTTCCAGTTTTAACTATTTTCTTTGCATACAATACCATATTAATTGGATAAGAGAAGTGGTTATGCATTTCTATTCAATAGCATCGGATGTATTTAGGCTTGGGGTCCTACTAATAATAATTATATATATATATATATATTAGCTTGATTCAATGGGGTTATTTAAAATATTTTCTTAAATATATATTTTTGGTGCGTAAGCTGGCGGGGTCGGATTTTGAACCCGATCCAGATTTCTTAACTTTTCATATATTTTAGTTAACATTTTAATTGCCAACATCAGTGCGAGTTTTAAGGTTTAAAATGAGGGTCTCTGTGGAAGAAAATGAAACAAAAAGGGGGTCTCAGGTCGAAAAAGTTTGACGACCCCTGAGGAGCTAGGATAATGTGATTTGCGACACCAACTTATCCTCAGAGATCCAAAGACATTTTCCTAAAACATAGTTTTGTCTTTCTTTTGGTCAAACTGATGACACCAAAGAGAGCATAAGCTTTCTTCGGCGAAACGAGTCTTTGATTAAAAAAAAAAAAAATAAATAAATAAATAAATAAATTCCGACATTTCACCCCCCCCAATTTTAAACATCTTTGAATTTTAAACATCTTTGCATACAATACTTTATTAATTTATATTTTATTAATTGGATATACTTATGCAATTCTGTTCAATAACATCAGCTTGGTTTGGAGTTCTTCCTGTTAGGAAGTACGGTGGAGTAATGGATAGCGGCTCGGATTTAGGAATCGGAGAGCAGAGTTCGAATTCCAGTCAATTCTATTACATTCACTCTTGGAATGGTAAGTAGTGGGACAGACCGGGTCCTATAGCCTTGGATGGCAACTGGTCTACCGCAGAAAGAAAGAAAGAAATGGCAACCTACTGCGGGGAAAAAAAAGTCTGCCTCGTCAGTCATGTATCGAAAGATACATGATCGCCTAAGTGTGTATCACTGACTGTACTTAATGTATTATTTGCTTGATTCATTGGAGTTATTTAATATATTTTCTTAAATATATTTTGGACGGAAAATTCTAAACTTGCTGATGCTTTGGATTGGGGGGTGGATTTTGAACCTGATCCAAATTTCTTAATTTTAATTAACATTTTAATTGTCAACATCATTGCGATTTTTAAGGTCTTGGGCTGCGCGAACGCACCCCCCTCCCAACACCCCCCCTCTCAGCGCTGCTGATAAAGCCCAAAGGAGAAGATAAACAAATACAGTCTAGTATCGGCTGCAGAAGATGCCGGAAGTTGAGGCAGTATGCCACCCATCTGCCTTTAGTAATCCAATTAGGATTTACATAGGGTTTATTTAATAAAAGAACGATGAAGTCATTTTTAATTTCTCTTGCTAACAAAGTTAATAAATCTCTGACGTAGCAACAAACTTTATGACAACTGTCAGTCAAAGCAAAGAGCCCAGTTTGACATACTATTTAATCCATAGATGGGAGAAACGCTCATTAAGCATGTCAGCAAAGAAGAGTCGTTCTTCACTGTTGAAAAAAAAATGTCTGAATATTTTATTTCTTGGACTCGAAATACATTTTTAGCATGAGAGGCACATATATATATATATATATATATATATATATATATATATATATATATATATATATATATATATATATATATAGGGAGGAGGGGGGGGAGGGAGAAATGCACGCAGATAGAGAGAGAGGTAGAGAAAAGCACGCAGATAGAGAGAGAGGTAGAGAAAGAGAAAAAAAACAAGCACGCAAAGAGAGAGAGAGATTACCTTGTGAAATATACAGTTTAAAAAGGAGCTGGGGAAAACCAATCATACTGTTCGAAACGTGATAAAAACAACAAAAATAAAGATCTTAATCCAAATAATTCAGATAATACTGTATTAGCCCACAGATAAGTCCCATTTGATAAATAAATTAAACAATGCAAGCCTTTACACGTTGTTCAATTAGCTGGTATTATGATTAGAAGGCCGTCTACCGAAGGTCAAAATTGACAGTTCTGTGGCTTGAAGCAGTTCCAATACTCAGGACTACCAAATCCCCATTGTATACCAAGCGTATTATAGGAACAACTTCAATCTCTTCAAAATGTTCATAGCATAACACTAACAGGCTGATCAAGTCAGAAGCTTAGAGATTTTTATTGGGTCTGCTAACAATTTCAACAAAAGACTGAGAAATTCGCCACACACCTTGTTCTGAAGGACCAAAGCAGTGTCTGCTTTTAGAAGGGAAATGATTTCATCCTTTCTACCGGATGTATAGTCATAGAAAATTGTTTTTAAAAGCCACCAGGATAAGGAATATAACAACCAGTTACAATGTCGGTTGCGTCGTGTGATTAGATAATTATTTGGACAAACGACGAAAACATCTAGAACACACAGCAGACGACAGACATTAGAATCTAGGATAATTCATCTTATCTGCAATCAATGCAGTCTTGTTTAGTGGATAATCTCATTACCGTTAGAGATTTATTAACACTGTTAGCAGGAGAAATTAAAACTGACTTTTTGAATCAAGGAAAAAATAAAACAATTAACCTTGATCGGCCGTCAGGCTATAAGTGCAAGTGTATTTACATATGAGAGAGAGAGAGAGAATAGTGCAGAAACGAGAGAGAGAGAATAGAAACGAGAGAGAGAGAGAGAGAATAGTGCAGAAACGAGAGAGAATAGAGAAACGAGAGAGAAACGAGAGAGAGAGAGAGAATAGTGCAGAAACGAGAGAGAGAGAGAGAAATAGTGCAGAAACGAGAGAGAGAGAGAGAGAGAGAAACGAGAGAGAGAGAGAGAGAATAGTGCAGAAACGAGAGAGAGAGAGAGAATAGTGCAGAAACGAGAGAGAGAGAGAGAATAGTGCAGAAACGAGAGAGAGAGAGAGAATAGTGCAGAAACGAGAGAGAGAGAGAAAAGAATAGGTGCAGAGAGACGAGAGAATGAGAGAGAGAGAATAGGTGCAGAAACGAGAGAGAGGAGAATAGTGCAGAAATGAGAGAGAGGAGAATAGTGCAGAAACGAGAGAGAGAGAATAGTGCAGAAACGAGAGAGAGAGAATAGAATAGAACGAGAGAAACGAGAGAGAGAGAGAGAATACTGCAGAAAACGAGAGAGAGAGAGAATACTGCAGAAACGAGAGAGAGAGAAATACTGCAGAAACGAGAGAGAGAGAGAATAGTGCAGAAACGAGAGAGAGGAGAATAGTGCAGAAACGAGAGAGAGGAGAATACTGCAGAAACGAGAGAGAGAGAAGAATACTGCAGAAACGAGAGAGAGAGAAGAATACTGCAGAAACGAGAGAGAGAGAAGAATACTGCAGAAACGAGAGAGAGAAGAATACTGCAGAAACGAGAGAGAGAGAAGAATACTGCAGAAACGAGAGAGAGAGAAGAATACTGCAGAAACGAGAGAGAGAGAGAGAAGAATACTGCAGAAACGAGAGAAAGAAAAAGAGAGACGGTAAGAAAAAAAGTGAGAAAGTATACACGAAAAAAAGGTGTAGAGAAAATAAGTAGATATATGTGGAGAAAGAGAGAAAGGGAAAGAAAAAAACATTCGGATAAAATAAGAAAGGAAGGAGAAAAAAAAGAAAAGGAGAGGAAAAGACTGAATGAATGAAATTGACAAAGTGAATTTTAAGATTACAAAAATATCCATAATTTTTATTTTGTCCAATCTTCCTTCAGTCATTGCACAAATAACAATGACGTCAGAGAACACAATATTATAAATTCCTTTTCATCTTCTTTCTCTTTCCGACACGCACGAACATCGTCAATGGGAGTCTGGATCGTCACGCACCAGTTCTCGAAATATTCTAAAAGCGTGGGCGTCTAACAGATTTCCCGCCAAAATAAAAAAAAAGCGCGGGAAAACTGCGAGTTGCTAAGTCGTTGTTGTTCTCTCATGATCGAATTGCTAGCAAGAGCGAAAAGAATGCGACGGAAGAAATAAACACCGGCTTGTGCATTCCAATCATTTATAATCGCTGTATAAAATAGAGTGGAATGCAGGAAATATTTCAATATGCATTGTGCATATACAGATCGCTACTGGGGAAGGTCTTTGACACGCCATTTTTTTTTTTTTTTACACTGTCTGCAGAGATCTGCCTGGCCAAAATAGTAAGACATTTGTTAAAATCGCGTTCATTCAAAAGGTGGGAAAACTTGTAAGTCATCGCGCCATTTTTGTTACAGGTTTTGCAAAGATTTAGTGAAGTACCTATAAGGTGTGAACATTGGGGATTGCCCCACTTGTATGGCAGCAATACCACCTCAAAAGATTTGTTTGTTTTTTTTTTTTTCATAAACAGTAATTTGGACTTTGCTAATCAGAAGCTTTCTCTGTAGCTAAGTGGTATAGCACGTTAGATCAATTGACGGTTTCCGTATAGGACAGGTTCGATTCCTCTCGGAAATTTCTCGAACATTCAGGCCGGTAAATGTAATGAATAATGTTTATTTAAAAAAATACTTAAATATATTACTTTTGTTGCACCTTGTATATGTGTAGATATATATAACTTAGAGCTAAATACATTCTTATTGTCCAAAGTAGAGTCCAATAGTGTTATAAAAACCTGGGAGAATTCTAGTAATATATCTTTAATCATTTCTAAGATACAACGGCTCAAAGCATAATCTAACAATTGGACAGTTTTGCCGTTACGCTCGACACACACACAAGAGAAAGAGAGAGAGATTATTTCGATTTTATTCTAAATTGACACCATCTTTAAAAGGGAGTGAATCAAGGCGTGGCATTTTGTGCATATTTAGGATTCGACAGCATTTTTCTGAATGACGAAATACTTTACTTCCCAGACAAGGTCAGTGCAAACGTATTCCTCGATGATTACGTCATCAAGACGTATCTGTACAGATCGTTACCCACACTATACCTCTCCCAATTCAGAGAAATTGTTAGTAGGGGAATAGTTGTCTATTCCATTGAATAACTGGTGAATAAGAGATGTGTGATTTTAGTGAAGGAGGTAATATTCGAGTGCACGAATCCGTAACGAACCAGATAAGTTAAAACGAAAGGACAATGGTCGTCTCCTCACCTTCAATTTTGGTCCTGTGCTACATTTTCAGAACTAAATGCGTTTTTGAGAGTTGTAGCGTGTGTGACACGCCGAACAGAAAGTGTTGTCAGTTTACGGCATTCCCTGATTAGGCTGGCACAGGGAAGGAGGGAGGGAGAGAGAGAGACAAATAGGCTGGCACAGGGAAGGAGGGAGGGAGAGAGAGAGACAAATAGGCTGGCACAGGGAAGGAGGGGGAGGAGGGAGAGAGAGACAAATAGGCTGGCACAGTGAAGGAGGGAGAAAGGGAGGGAGAGAGAGAGGGAAGGAGGGAGAGAGAGAGGGAAGGAGGGAGAGAGAGAGGGAAGGAGGGAGAGAGAGAGGGAAGGAGGGAGAGAACTGTACAGATTCACGAACACACACACTAATTTATACTATACTAGCATACTAATGAAAATAAGTTGAATATTCTTGTAAAATCTGAAGACGAGGATAGTAATATAGGATTTTTTGTTCCAGGATGACTTCATTTGCTTCCAGTCCAAACTGAATTCAACCTACATATACGCGGATTAGCAATCGGGGTGAACCATTTGTCCTACCACGTTATTGTGAACGGATAGACGGGATCATATAACTTTGAAACGATATCAGTCGGTTTAGACACATTGCATCAAGACAAATAATTAACCTGAAATCAACTGATCTTTGGTTTAAAAAGAAAATTGTCCGAAATTGTTAAGTGAAAAATAAAAATATAATATCCAACGAGTTATTTAAGTGAATGACACTTCGGGGTGTCAGTTATTACAATATACTTGCAGTTTTAAATAACGCTTAAATATGTAGAGAAGGGCAGAATGTTTAATAAGTAGATTGCTGACTGTGTCAGACTAAACATTATAAGCAGCAATCCCATAATGAAGTGTGGTCATAGGGTCGCTGTGCAGGTGAGCAGCTGACAAGTTCCTTTCACAGGAGAAGTATTCATTTCTATTTATAGAAAAAACAAAACAAAAAAAAAACTACATAGCGTCGGTGTGAGAGTGACTGAAACTAAGATAACGGGCCGGGACCAGTGAGATAACGGGCCGGGACCAGTGAGATAACGGGCCGGGACCAGTGAGATAACGGGCCGGGACCAGTGAGATAACGGGCCGGGACCAGTGAGATAACGGGCCGGGACCAGTGAGATAACGGGCCGGGACCAGTGAGATAACGGGCCGGGACCAGAATAATACCAGTGCATTTGGGTGTTGTGTCATATTTTGATTATTTTTATTCTAAGATTTCTTGTTCTTTTCACGCCTTCAAATTTTGTTTCTTTATGTAGTCGTTTTCTTTCCCTATTTATTTATATTTTAATCATTTCACTGCATGCAAGGCAATAAAGCCCCTAAGACAATTGGTTACTGAGTGTAAAAGTACAAGAAAAAAAAAGAGAAACATAAAAGAGCGATAACAGTAGAAAAGTAACCAGGAAGACAATAGGTAACGATTGATATTGCATTTAACTTACAGCTACATCTAGCTAATTCATCTGTGAATTGATGAGACCTTGCCGCCAATCGAGTACTGCGCTTAAATTCATAACCTCTTGTTACCATAGCAAAGAGCCCATCCGAACCATATCGAAAAGATCACTTTAAAGAATAATCATACAAATTGATGTTTAAGAATAATCCGTACACAACAGCGTATCCCAAACAAACTTGTATATTCTTTATCCAACGCCATGACCAAAGAACACTTCGGTTTATAAAGGCCACTCTCGAGTGCCAAAGCCCTGACCCCAGAGCTTGTAAAGACCTCTCCATTTATTAAGGAGTGAAAATATGATTGCAGAAGAAGAGGAAAGTATGTCAACAAGACAAGGAAAATGAACAAATATGGAAATATTTTCGATTTCATTAACGAATTTTAGATATTATTTTGGTCTTGATAGATATTCATTACCGGAAATAAATCTACTACTTGTATAGTGCGAGCCTTGAATTTCTTTTGCGAACAACCTGATTTTCTCATATACTTCGTGTATACCCCAGTTTCTGAGCAATACTAATAGGCCTACCGTAGTTACATATTGCTGTACTGGGCATATTTTATACCAAATAAATGGTCTTTATTTTTTATTTGTACTAAGTTACCCAAAGTAGTGAAAAAAAAAAAAAAAAAAAAAAAAAACACTTGGTATATAGTTAATAAATATTCAGTAAAAAAAAAAAAAAAAAGACTATTTTCTTCGGTGTATTGTAAATAATTTCTTCCTGTCGTATGTACTCTAATACTTTGTATATAATTTATATATTAATAGTGGGATAGGCTTTTATAACGCTCCTCAATTTTGCTGATTCCTGTTGATAACATTACTGTATACCATAAATAAAGCTTCTAGAATTAAAATTTACTTCCCCCCCCCTGTGTAATCATCATATACTGTATACGACAGTGCATTTTGTCAAAATACTTTAAGAATATGTAACAGAATTATAAGATAAAATTATACAATTAAATGTAAAGAATATAAGCATATTTCATGTATAATGCGGCCCCTGAATTTTTTTTTTTTTTTTGGTGGGGGCTGATTTTTTTCATAATGCGACCCCGGATTCTGAACAATACGGCCTGTCGTAGTCAAATATTACAATACTGGTCTTCGCCCTGGAGATATTTTATAGCAAATAAACGGTCTTAATTTTCTTTTGTAGAAAGCTACCTCAAAATGGCGAGGAAAACCACTTACCATAAAATATCTGAAACGAAGTTTTAAATACTGTACGTTTGTTTCCGTTCATGCCTGACTACGGTAGCTTCTTTACCCTGGGCCTGTCTCCTACACAGCCTAAGTTTCCGTTCATGCCCGACTACGGTTTTATCTCTTTGCTATCTCCCCTAATACTTGTTCTGCCAACCGTTTACTCAAACTTTGGTTGGTGGATGATTTGCTACTTTCCTCTATCCAACTTGCCTTGATTATCCCCTGCGAGAGTCAAATTCTCCAAGCCGTCTTGCCTTATGAGCTTGAGAAATGTTAACCGTATTTCCGATGCTAAGTTTAAATGTCTTTTTCTATATATACGTTGCTTATAGATACACTAGCTGACAACCAAGGCCGAAAAAAACTGGGTATATACTGCTAATTAACACGTATAGCTAAGAGAAGTAATGGACTCTTGCATTTTTCGCATGCGTTTAACAAAATAGGACAATCTTCCCAGCTAGAAGATGGCTTTGTGTCTTCCTATAAAATATAATCTGATGTATTTTTTACATGTTTAAACTTAATTGAGTTTTAAGACAAGACTTAAGTAATTATTGCAGCATAAGTACGGACGATAATAGGTGTGTCCCCATTTACATAAATACAATAGTAAATACTGTATGTTGGTCTGCATTTGAAGATTCGTCAACAGTATATATATATATATATATATATATATATATATATGTGTGCTGGTCAAACTCTCTGCATCCAGGTAGAGAGGATCCGCAGACGAGGATTAAATACGGCCTTGTGCCACATCTGACCGCGTGTGGCGGTTGGTAGATATTCTGCAGTCGGAGATTCATTGTGAAATTCACTTGACTCACTTCCAGCAGTTGATTACTACTTCTACGCGCCGCTGGCGAATCTTATGTGTTGTTCTTGTCCTAAGTATTATCGTTCATTACCAACCTTAGTTTGATTATTCTATTAAGTAATTTTTCCCTAGGTTACAAGAATAATAAAATTACATACCTGACCCGCCGTGTCAACGAGATTTACTTTAAAAGTTTCGTCTTCGCATGCCATCGTCACTGAAATAAATTTTAAAAAAATATTTGTTAGAAAAAAATACGAAAAGAACAAAAAAAAAAAAAAAAAAAACAGACCCATTTCCATAATACAAACAACCAATATCGCATAGTGTGAGGCTCCAGAATGTGACACATTACGCATGAATTACTGATCCCCGACGGGTGAGGATGCCTGTGTTGTTTTGGTGGAATCACCTATAAGTCAAGACCAGCAAGCGACTTCAACCTATTGATAAAATAAGTGAACACACACACACACACACATATATATATATATTTCTTTCTTATTACCAAAAATGTTTAGTGAATACACGTTTAGAGAGTAACAAGAAATAATGCCAGATAAAAGAAGAAGATATATATATATATATATATATATATATATATATATATATATATATATTAGAGAGAGAGAGAGGGGAGGGAGGGGGAAGAGGGAAAAAAAAGGGAGAGAGGGAAGAAAAAAAAGGGAGAGAGAGGGAAGAGAAAAAAAAGGGAGAGAGAGGGAAGAGAAAAAAAAGGGAGAGAGAGGGAAAAAAAAAAAAAATGGGAGAGAGGGAAGAGAAAAAAAATGGGAGAGAAAAAAAAGGAGAGAGAAAAAAGGGGAGAGAGAGAAGAAAAAAAAAGAGAGAGAAAAAAAAGGAAGATAAAAGGGAGAGAGAAGGAGGCGATAAAAGGGAGAGAGAAGGAGGCGATAAAAAGGAGAGAGAAGGAGGCGATAAAAAGGAGAGAGAAGGAGGCGATAAAAAGGAGAGAGAGAGAGGAAAAGAAAAATTACAAACTGACACGGAGAGAGAGTGTTGGGAGAGAACTGGAAACTAGTAAAAACAGAGTAAAATTTAAACAGTCAGAGAGAAAGAGAGCAACTGAACGAATCTGCATTATCAGCTTCAAGAGGAAAAAGGGTGTGTTACTGAGATACTTCGGGTTTTTTTTTCTTTTTTTTTTTTTCCTTTTTTGGCTCGAGTGCCTCCTGCACCTTATCATTCTATTCCTTTAATTTCCTCTCGCCTGCTCCTGCCATTTTATTTTTATCCTGTTCGAGACAAAGCCAAAACATACGATACCAAGACGCCATGTCGTCTTTTCAACCGTTGTAAGAAGCCCTTATCATCCATCGTTTTCGTTGGCTCTTTCAAATTTTTGTTGTTTTGAAGACGATCTCAAACTTTAACACTACATTCTAACTGTTCTTACGGTAATGACGCATTTGAAGATCATATACACTAGTTTTACCCATGACAGCATATATGAAATTGCTACCTTCTTAAGCCAACCGATTTAAAAAAATAAATAAAAATAAAAAATGAAATTAAAAATTAAATTACGAAATGAGCTTTCCGGAGGGCGGTTCAGAATTATTTAAAAGAAAAATTTAAGTAAGTATCATATTGTCTGTTTTCTTTCGGAAATTTTAAACCCATTTCCTTCTCGCTTTAGTTTAAAAGCGACGCCTTTTCCCGTAAATCTAAACTGTATACAGAAATTTTGGAAAGGGAAAATTTCATTGAAATTTGTTGGAAATTTCCAAATTTTCACGCGAATCCAGAAAAATACAAACTTTTAGGAAAATGAAAATAATATAAAGAAAAAAAAAGTGCCTAAAAGGATATGGGTTATTGTTTTCTAAAAAAACGCTGTGACATTGTTTTTTCCGGGATTTTTGTAAACACGAGCATGAATAATAGTCTATTGTAAAATATATAACAGACAATTGTTAGACAAATATAGTACAACCTGCCTGCGCAAAAACAATACAACGTGGTATTAAACATATATATATATATATATATATATATATATATATATATATATATATATATATATATATATATATAATAAATAAATATAACCGATTTCAACAAAACTTCACAGGACTACGTAAAATTACCTTGAGGTGGTTCTGACAGTGCCAAAAATTGGAAAAACAATTGTTTTTGCACGAAATCAATTTGAAAACACGATTAAGAGGCATCGCGAGAATGAAGGGGGGGACAAATCATATAGAGTTTTACTTATTATAAAACCCAGGTTGTTTGTCTCTCTGTGTGTGTGTGTGTGTGTGTGTGTGTGTGTGTGTGTGTTTATATATGGGATCGGATTTCCTACAATTTTCAACCGATTTCAACAAAAATTCACCATTTTTGGCAGGTAGTGTTTCTTATTGTCATGCACACATTTTTCTTTATTTTTACATTCAGAATGCTTTAAAAATTCCATTTACAAGACAATTGTTTATAATAAAATTATATTCAATCGATAGACTCATAACGATTGAAAACAATGTTTTTGTTTGAGTTTTACCAATTCGTAAAAAAAACTAATTAAGACATGCGTGTCCGTCAACCTTAAACAATAATCTTTGTCAATTTTATTTTTCAGTCTTTATGATGGTCGATACTTGATCTATGTCTTACTGTTACATCCCAGGGCAACGCCGGGCTCTACTGCTAGTATATTATAATATAATATTATATAATATATACATACACACACTTGTAAGGGCACGTAAGTTCAGGTTACCCTAAGTACCTGCAACTCTCGGGCCGTCACTGCATAATCAATCAATCACACCAGGCTGAAATTTGTCGTATTATCAATCATCATCTTACGGTAAATAAAGAACTTGATGAGATATCCCTACACATGGCCAGCGAAACAAGAACAATAGACAACGACAGTATATTAAACAAAGGGTTCAGTCAGAATTTCCGTGAATGTTACACGGATCGACAAGCACTTGATGAAGGCCCCAAAAACACAACTACCGAAACGCTGAGATAACAACAACAAAGATAGCGATAACAGTCTGCGTGTAAATAATGATAACGCCTCATCACAGCAATTCAAACAAAAACAATACCTTTATTTTAATAGCAACATTTAGGTCGTTTTTTCATTTGACCATATTGGGGAATAAAGTAACGCCTGAAAAAAAAAAAAAAAAAAAAAAAAAAAAATCAGACTCCTCATCTCCGGAACGTGTCTGATAAAGTTGGAATCAAGTACCTCCTGGAGCCATAGAATGAATCAGTTTTTTTAAGGATCTTCGTTTTTCTACTACAGTTGAACCTCGGTTCATGAATTTAATAAGTTACTGAAGGCTATTCGTGAACCGGAAGTAGTTTCACGTTAGGAATCAATGTAAAATGCATTCATTCGTTCATGGGCACCAGATGATTGTTCATTTAAAACTTTTGCAACAGTACTTTGGGCACAAGTTCATGCACAAAACCAATGAAATCTACCTATAAAAGGCAGGATGTGTGTGTGTGTGACGAATGCACGGCCGCAATTTTCGACGGATTTGCACCAAAATTTACATGCACAAAGTTAGCGGGAAGGCCAAGACCGAATTTGCATTTCCCAACTCCCATCGATAGTGGAAATAATCGATTTTTTCATGCTCTGCGGCAGTTTTCATGTAGTTTGCGGCCAATTTCTACTGGCCAGAGTGAGAGCCTATAGCTGGCTGCCACGTATAGGCAGGAAGATTCTATTGGTCAGCGTGAGAGCCAAAAGCTAACTGACGGGAATGTTAACTAGCATGCAAAAAAAAAATAAAAAAAAAATTGATAGCTGTATTCGTCACAAATGGGAAAAATTTAAATCTGCATGGCACTTTACTCCAATTGGCTCATTCGCTTGCTTAAACTCAACGTTGATTCTGATTCCGCAGAATTGGGTTGGCTGTGAAAAAGTATTTGTTGTTAACATTCTTTTTTCATTCGGTTTTTCCAGTTACGAGTCCTTTTTTAAAGCTGATCGTTTTGTGTTTATTTTGTTTAGTTCTTTTTGCGTAACAGATTCGCAGTATGAGATAGGCAAGAAGTAAGGCATATAGCAACATCAGCACGGCAAAGGGCACTCCTTTAAAGGCAAGGAAGGGCAAAAATATTTTAAGTCAAGTGACAGCGATTGCTGTACGAGTCGTACGATTTTTGAATCAAGCACGGGCAACGCCGGGCCATGCTGCTAGTCATTATTTAAATTCAACAGCAAAATAAGAACGCAGTACTACACTGGTAAAATATAGAGGAAAACAATTTCAGTTTTACCTGTATGGAGGTGGGGTGATGACGTAAGTGGAAGTTGGTGGGGATTAACTCAACTCAAAGTTTTTAGTTAATAAAGGGAAATAACCGAGACATCCGGAAGAAGCATGGCACGTGAAACTAGACTAATCTACCCCGGTGGACGAAATAAAGGATTCAGTTCGAAATACCAATCACCTGAAGAAAGCCAGAGTGTACAACGGCCGAAACGTTGTGAATATGGTAATGAAGATAACTGTCCAAATAATGTAAATAATGTAAGTAATTATGATACCTCATCTCAGAGATATAGACAAATAATAAAAAATTCATTATTTTCAGACAAGTTTATCTGTCTTGTTTTTTTGTTTGTTTTTTTTTTCTTGTTGCTTGAAAGAAAAAAAAAAGCACAAATTGATTGCACTAAATACAAATAAACAGTAAATAATTAAACGAATTTGCTCTAAAGCCGAGCTTGTTATATGATTATTATATTATCTAATGACAGATAATCCAACTAGAGGCCATATATTTGATCCTGGGGAAACTTAAATCTAGATGATGGTGTTAGCATATCTGTTTTACGAATCAAGCGCGGGTGAGATTTAAAAAAAAAAAAAAAAATGATAAATAAATAAAAGTAGGTTAACCTGGAAGAACGTTTATCAAGCAAACAATTGTTACAGCTATAAGGATCGATATCAAGCGATAAATCATTAACAGTAATCAATAAAATTAAATGCTCACTTGTCCCTACACAGTGTTTCTCGGAACAATATCTTCCGAAGACTAGACTGAAAAAAATGTTACCAGAGTGAGACATTTCTCGAAAGCATAGTGGGGAAAGGGGACTTGGAAAATTTGACATTCGCAGGACATATTGAAAACAGAAGAAAGCCGTGCGTAACCTATATAACGAATTTGTGTAAATGGATGACAGAACAGGGATTGAGAGAGAGAGAGAAA